TAACTACCACGAAAATGAAAAGAAAAGAAAAGAAAATGTTCAAAAGTTCAGGTTATGTTATGTTGTTTTATTTTTCACCGTATGTAATCGAATACCTTTCAGGTATTTTTTTTCTAGTTTTTCATTATTTCTTTTATCACTATCATTCACTCACTATCAATGTCTGGTCTTTCTTTCAATCAGTTGGATATATATATTTGTCAACGAAAATGTTGAAAATATCTTGTTGTTGTTTTGCTTGAAACAATTCAATTTGAATTTGAATTTTGTTGTTGTCGCCGTTGTTTTTTCCAATTCAAAACAACAACAATTCAATCATATTGATAACATGTATATATCGATTGTTTGTTTGTTTGTTTGTTTAAGAATGAATGAAAGAAAGGGTAAAATGCTGATCACAAACATAGATAAAAATGTTCAATATTTTTTAGTTATATCGATATGTACGTCTGACTGACTGACTGACTGATTGATTGAGTAAGGTATCATTGTGATTGGAATTTTCAAATTTGAATAAAAAAAAAACCTTATATCATATTACAGAAGTTTCAATTGTCTACGAGAATTTAGAAAATTATATTAGAAAAGTATTTGAAATTTGAAAGAAATTCATTTCAATAGTGCCATCTATGAATGAATTTGAATTTTTTTTTTGTTTCATAAAGTCATTCATATGGCGATATTTTGAAACAAAAAAACCATAATAAACATCATCATGGTCATCCATAACAAACCATTATAATCATCAATCAGTAATAACCACTAAAAAAAATTATCTATAAAAATCCATTAGGCCAAGGCCAATCAATTTCATCAATAATTTATCCTGAAAAAACAAAAAAAAACAAAAATTTTTGACATAAATGTCAAAATTGTCTTGCAAATATAATAATAATATTTTCTTCAATATTCATAATGATCGATGATTATTGATGATTTTATATTCTCTCTCTCTCTCTCTCTCTAGGTTATCATAATTGATAATGATAATTATGTATCATCATCATCATCAGAATATGAGGAAGAGAGAGAGAGAATATGCCAGCAAAAAAAAAATCCCATTAAAACTAATGATGAATATAATACAAATGAATTTCAATTAGTGGTAATTCTTGTTGATGATGACGATGATAGCGATAGTGGTGGTTGTGGTTCAATTTTTTTCAATATTCCATCATAGGTTCATATTCAATTACCAAGGTTCTTTATTTTTTATTTCAGTTATCATAATCATCATTTAAAACAAAAAAAACTGAATGTTTCTAAACGGGAATAAATGAAAATTATCGATTGACCTTTTTTTTCTTTCGCTCTGTCTAAAAAACCCAATAAAATTACAAAGAAGGAGAGAGAGAGAAGAGAGAAGAATTATCGATTCTTTTATTACATAATTTATCATTGAAACAAAAACAAAACAAACAAATATCATCATTATAATGATGATGATTATCAATGTCTAATGATCAATATTGATTTGTTTGTTCAATTGGTGTGAATTGAGCAATATTTTTTTCGGTTCAAAAAATTCGTTTAAAATGCGAAAATTTTATCAGCAAAATAGAAAAATTCATTTAAAGATAAACAAGTTAAACTTTGAAGTAAACAAACAAACAGAACTCATAGAACTCACACGATGACAACTACGAAGACGACAACGACGTCAATGTCAAAATATAAAGATCAATTTTGATAACGATAATGATGATGACCAAAATGAAACTTTTTTTTTAATAGAAAAAATGACCATATCGACCACCGATAGATTTTTCACTGTTTGTTTTTAGTTAGTTAGTTTGTTATTTGTCATTTTCATTTCATTCAACTTCCTTAATAATCAAAAGTAATCACCACAATCATCATAATCATCATAATCTTTTAATTGTTTTGTTGATAAAATCTTAATTATTTTAATGGTTAACCAAAACTGTTAATGTTACCTGGTAGACATGACCACCATTCTACAAACAAGAAATACAAAGTAATTCTGTAATTATGTAACACAGAAAAAAAAAGATTTTTGTAAAATTTTCAAACATTTTTTCTTGGTGGTAGTTCTTCTTCTTCTTCTTCCTTTAAATTATTCATTTAATGATGTTGATTATTTTGTGTCGGTCAGTTTTCTGGTCGGTTTGTTTTCAAACGTGTAACTAATTAATTTGTTACGCGTTGAAAAATAACCTGAAGAAAAAGCCATTGACCAACAACAACAAGGTCAATATCACATCACTTTGATTACATTATTTCGAAAAAAAATTACTGAACAAATTTTATTGAATCAATGAATGAATCAACCCAAACACACACACACACACACCTACAGAATCAATCAATCAATCGATCGGCTAATACGAATAAGAAGAAGAAGAAAATGTCGTATACGGTTAAAATTATTGATCACGATCGATTTGTTTTTGCTGCAATGAAATAATGAATGAATGAATTTGGTTTTTTGGTTTTTCAAGCAATCAAATCAAATCGAATGAATATACTTAACACCTGTATGATCAATATACAAAATTTTGGTTACTTTAGTTTTCCTCATTTTCATTGATTCTTTGTGGCAATCGATTCGAAAGATTCAAAATTCAAAAACTAGAAAAAAAAATGTTCACTATGAGGATAAACATTCGTGTATGAAGAAAAAAAAATCTGGTTGCAATTAAAGAATATTTAGTTGTGCACGATTCTTATATGATCATTATCATCATCATGAAGATCATTTGATGCATCCGTATTCTGGTTTCGAATAAAGCTAAAACGATCATTATTTTTTTGATTGATAATAGTGAAAGTTGAATGAAAATTAAATGACCATTTTTCTTCCTTCATCCACCACGAGATCATCAACGATTTTTTACCTTAGACCAGGTGCTTGTGATAATAATGATGATGATGATGATGATAGTAGTGGTGGTGGTGGCTTTTTCCTTCTCCAATCGATTTCTGTTTGCCAATCTAATTCAATATGTAATCGAATTTGATTGCAAAGATTTTTTTGTTTTTAAATTTTCTATTTGAATGTTTTTCTGTGCAATATTGGGAATGATGTTATGTTTGTTTGTTTTCTTTTCTTTCTAAATACAATCATTATGGATGAAAAATAACCAAAAACAAAGTCATGTATGGCGTTTGTTTGATGTTTTTTCAGCAAAAAAAAAATTCAATTCAATTCAATTTTCCTTTATCCGACCGAATCACGAATTTTTCCCCATTTTATCGTTTACCAACCAAAAATCACGATTTAAGAATTTTTTTATTTTTTTTGGGTAAAAAAAAAAGTTTTTCTCTTTTGCTCAGCACAGTGTTGTTGTTTTTTGATTCAATTTGAATTTTCATCCCTCGCTCGCTCTCAAAATGTAATTAGCGATCATTTTAGCAACCTTATTAGTTCGTGGTGATGGTGATGGTGGTTGTGGAAAAAAGTCTTTAGTCATCATCATCATCATCATCATTTGGTGGTCGATTCGATCGATCGTGGTGTCTGCCATACACCATCCATTGCACACTTCTGTTATCATCATGGGGCCTTAGGCCATCATTTTTTCTTCTTTTTTGGTTTTTACTATTTCGACTGTACCTGTGTGACCGGAGAGAGAGATATTTGGACCGTGAACAATTTAAAGATCCGTGTGTGTGCTGTGTGCTGTGTGTATGGATCGTATGTTTATATTGATCAATCAATCATCATCATCAGCATAAAGATTTTCTGGAACCAAATGGAAGAAATGGAAAACTTTTTTTCTTTTCACACTTCGTTTTTTTGTTCAATCCAATTCATAAAATGAAAAATTCATTTATCATCTTGCATTTTTTGCCTGATGATAAATGAAAGGAATTGGTTGGTTTTCGCTTTTTCTTCTGGTTACTTTACTTTCAGTTTCTATCTAATAATTTTCGTGTTTAAAAAAATATAGATTCAAATAATTGAATTCAACAACAACAAAGCAACAACAAAAGAAGAATCATCAATTATGTAATTGTGTGCAAAGTAGAATGAACGGAAAACTTTTGAATTTTGAATTTTGATTTTTTTTTGGAAATTTTGGCCTTGTTTTAATCAAAAACAATGGCGAAAAAAAACTAAGGGCTGAAAAAAATTAATTATCTTGAAATTTTTTCTTTTTGAAAGAAATTAGAAAAATTCAATTTTAAAATTTGACTTGGATAGAATGGATGTGCAAAATACATTTGTGAAAAAAACAATGTATTTTTCACAAATTTGTTTTTTTTGTTTTGTTTGAAATTAAATTAATTTTCTCAATTCCATTTTCTGCTCTAAAAGCTGATGTGTAAAGATGTGCAAATAGGAAAAGAACAAATGGAATAGGAAGAAAGGAAACAAGAAGAAGAAGAAGAAAACATAGACAAAACCTGTCAGCTTTTTAGAAGATGGAAATTTTTCTGTTTTTCTGGCTGTTTTATTTGCCTAAATATTTTTGACAAAACCCAAAATAAATGAACAAAAGTCACGATATATGTGTGTAAAGAAAATAAATGTTTCTTTTCTGTTGTTTTTGGGCGTCATAACGGCCAAAAAACAACAACAACAATAATCATTTGGATAAGAATAGTTATTTTGATCAAATTGGATGATAATGAATGAATGAATGAGAGGAAGATGAATTAGATATTATCAAATGATGTTTGATGTTTTGATCTTTGATGATGAAATGTATTAACCATATATATGATTTATCGATTATCAAACAAAAAAAAAACCTCTTTGGAATAACGATTAATGGATTTTCTTGTTTGTTTGTTGGCAGCCAATTTCCTTGTTTTTTGTTTTTTGTTTTTCGTTTGGATCAGGTGATCAACCGAATTTCGGAATCAAAATGAACAAGAAATGTATTTTTTTAAAATTCAAAATTTTATTTCATTTTTTTTTGTAAATTTAGAAATTTTGGTTAGAAACAATGAAAAAATCAACATTACAAATTAATTTTGCTGGCAATTTATTTTGGTTTAGAATTCTTGTTCATCATCATAATGGTAATCACCATCGCCATCGCCATCGCCATCGCCATCGCCATCGCCATCGCCATCGCCATCGCCATCATCATAATCATAATCATTAGTTAATTTAGACATTAATACTTGTAAATAATATTGAAGTGTTGATGTAAATATTATAGCCAAAAATAGATAAAATGTCATTTCCATAATTAAATAGATCATTAATTGACGACGACGATTTGGTTGTCGACGTATTGCTGCCATACGACGTTTTACAATTCGATCCATTTGCTTGTTTGTTCCAAAAGATTTGATTCCTTGCTAGAAGATTTGCCAATTGAATTTCCCAATTGCTCGAAACACGTTTTACTCACACACACGCACATAAGACAGTGTCAGGTGACACAGAACCAAAACAAAACAAACGACAATCATCAAAATTCTAAATTCGAAAATCTAGCATGGAATGATTGGGATTCAAACACATCAAACACTCATTACTTTGGATTCCAAAAATAATAAAATTGTTGAATATTTTGTTCACTAGATGACACTCAATAACCAATGATCAATAGTGTATTCAATGTGTGTATTTTCAAGTATTTTTCTATTTTTTCCGACACTATTAGCGCCATCTTTTGATCGCCAATACAGCTATTTTGAAATTTGAAATTTTGTCGTTTAAAAAAAACGACAACATGGCCTTCTGTTTTGAGATAACAAAGAAAAAAAACCGGATTGAACAGTGAAAAAAAATCGATGATAATCATTCGATGATGATGATAATGATAATGACTTTGATTTCATTTGAAATGATTTCATTCATGGCTTGATTTTTAGTTTTTCTGTTGTTCAAAAAATTAATTCACAATGTTTATCAACAAGTTTTGTTTACGATTTTTCCCCCAATTTTCCAATTTTCATTTCATTCATGGATTTTTTTCTGGTTTCTGGTGATTTCGTTGTTATCGGGAGCAAAATTTGTTTCCCGATATAGATTCGTTCAATCAATGTAAACGCCTAAAAAATTTATCTATCCAAATATTTCGTATCACTATAGTACAAATAATAATAATTTTCACTCAAAAAAATGTTTGATGTCGTGGCTTATGAAAATTTCATTTTTTTCTAAAAATAAAAAGTTTTTTTTTCTGATTTGCACCGTTGTTTTCTTTAATTGATGAAACCAGTTGAATTGAATGAAAATGTTGTTTTGTTATGAATGAAACGAATGAAAAAATCATGACATTTTCATCATCATCATCATCGATAGCAACATTAAAAGTTGCTAAGAATCATAAAAAAATGATTTTAATAAATTCATTAATCAAATATTTATTTAAACAAAATCAAACATTTATGATTATTATTTGGAAATTGGTTATTTTACAAATAATAATAATTATTATCGAAACAAAATCAACATCAGCAGCATTATTGTATAATAACAGAATTCATCATCATCAACAACAGCAACACTTTAATTTAATAAATTATAATTGGTTTGATGATGATGATGATGAAATAATTATTTCAAAAATAATTACAAATGAAAATTATAATCAAATAAAACCACCATTAGAATTACCATCAAAATCAGTACAACATTCCTCAGCATCCAATTCCGCATCATCACATCATCAACAATATCAACAACAACAACAACAACAATGTCCACATTCAGATGATCATCATATATTATTACCATGTATTTGTAATAGTAATAAAAAAGAAATAATTTGTCGTGGTGGTGGTTCAACAATATCTGGTTCAGCTTCGGAACAATTACAAAATACATTTATTTATTATGCAAAATGGATACCACAAGAATTACAATATTTTGATTCTATTTATATTAATTTAAGAAATTTAACAAAATTAGATGAAAAATTATTTAATGGTATAAAATTTTCAAATTTATTATTAAGTGGTAGTGAATTAACATATTTACATCGTAATACATTTTTGGATACGGAAAAATTTATTTACACTGTATTTATTTATGGTACTAATCTAAGTTCCGAACCGAATGGTCGATTTGATTTTTTTGCTTCAATACGGAAATTAATCAACCTGCAAAAATTGATTATTTATCAAAATAATTTAACTGAAATACCTGAAAGGTTTGTTTGTTTGTTTAATGTAAAAAATGTCCTTTTTCTTTAATTCATCATCATTTTCATTTAGAGCATTTACACAAAATGATTTAAAATCAATAAATAATGTTACTGATAATAATGAAACATTATCGAATAATGAACAAGATGTTCATGAATTACAATTAACTGAAATACAAATTACAACTGGTAATATTCGTTCAATCGGTACGGATGCATTTGCTGATCTATTACATTTAGAACAATTATCATTAAGTAAAAATCAAATAAATTTCATTCATCCATATGCATTTCGTATGAATAAATCATCAAATTTAACATTAATGATTGATTTAACTGATAATGATCTTAATTCAACAAGTTTTGTACCAGAATCATTTTTAGATGCTAAAAGGTTTGTTTGTTTTAATTTTGTATTTTGTATTTTGAATTTCCTAACTTTTTTTATAATTGAAAAAAAGACCCCTCAAAATTCATCTAGGATTAAATGGTTGTAATCTAAATCTAAATCATTTACCGGAAGAAATTTTTCGTCCATTTTTAGATGAAAATATTAAAAATATTATCGATGTTGGTAGACATTGTTTTAATTTACAATGTGGTTGTCGTATGTCATGGACATTATCTGAACGTTATCGTTTACGAGTGAAAAATTTCCGTTGTTCAAATGATCAAAATCATACTGTTTATTTTAGTGATTATATGCGTAATAAAACATGTCCATTAAATTATCAACGACAAACTAAATTATCACCATCAACAACACCAACAACGACAACAACGATGACAACAGCAATAATATCATCTAATCAAACAGCATCAAACACTACTGGTGATCAAATGTAAGATTTTGAATTGAATTCTTGAACAAAAAAAAAATATATTTTCAAATTTTTATTTTCTCGATAGAAAAGCAAATGAAATACCGATTGAATCAAAAGATTCATCATCACCGTATCGAAATAATTCAACATTAATAATCGATACAACATTTATTGATCGTGATCGTGATCAATCATATTGTTCAACAAAAAAATGTTCAAAACAAGGTATCGAAATAAATACCTATATAAATCGTACAGTTGATCCTTGTGATTCATTCTATGATTTTGCTTGTAATGGTTGGGAAAGTAAACATTTATTAGAATATCTTGTACAATTTTTATCAAACGGTGGATCGGAATATGATAATTTTGTTAAAGTACAATTAAAAATTGAAGAAAATTTTGAAAAATTACTTATTGTTGATCAAAATTTATTAATGAAAAAAAATTTTACAACAACCACCACCACAGCATCAATTGAATTACCAACATTAAAAATATCTGATAATAACGTGTTAATGATTGAAAATATTCGTCAAATGTATACAAAATGTATAACATTATCAACAAAAGAACCAGATTTAAATATATTAAATAAAATATTAAATGATATTGGTGGTTGGCCATTATTAACAAAAAAATTTGATCATGAACAATATCGTTGGGAAAAATATTTTGATAAAATAATAAATAATTATAATGATCATATATTTATTGAATTAGAATCAAATATTGATGAAAAACAGATTAAATATTTAATGATTAAAAGTGGTGGTTTTATTGTATCACATCGGAAATTATTATCAGTAAAATTGAATCGTTTAGAATCATATGCAAATTATATACTTGCAACAGCCATACATTTTGGTGCAAAAAATTATCAAAATGAAACAATGGATGAAATTTGGGAAATGATTAAATTTGAAAAACAATTAGCCAATGTATGTATTTTGATTTGATAATCGATTATTAATTAATCAATTGAATTTAGATTGCTAAAAAAAGTATGGGACCAGAATTTATGATACAAAGAAAAATGGAAACATTAGGTTGTTTAATACAGGAAATTGATTGGCTTTATATATTGAATAACATTCAACATCAACATCGTATAATGAATGATTCGAGTTTTGCGCAAACCAAATTAATGTTCGATGTACATTATCTAATTGAATTAAGTCGTTTATTAATACGTACTGATCAACGAATTATATCCAATTATATTGGTTGGCGTGTTATCGATTTGATTGGTTATCAATTTGGTGGTCAAACATTTATTGATATACAGCAAAATTTTTACAGTACTGAATCAAGAGAAGGATTGAAAGCAATTAAAAAACAATGCCTGGAACCATTATTACAATCAATACCATACCTGATGACAAGAATTTATGCTGAACAATATTTACCACTAAATGCACGTACAAATGCCCGGCAAATAATTGAAATGGTTAAAAATTCATTTATTGAATCGATGAGAAAAAAAAATTGGATCGATGAACCTAAACGTGAATTGATTGAAAAAGTTGAAAAAATTAATATCAATGTTGGCTATCCAGATTGGATTATGGATGATAAAAGTTTGGAAAATTTTCATTCAATTTTGGTATGAAAAAAATTCCCTGGAAAATTTTCCTTTTATAAAAATGATAAAATTTCTTTTTAACCCACAACAGAATTATACAATACCGGAGAAGAAGAAAAATTCTACATTAACATTAATACAATATTATTCAAAAATACAGGAATTAAAAATATTACATCTATTATCACAGATTGGTGAACAAATTAATAAAAGTTTATTATGGGATCCATTACCATTACATGTTGGTGCTACATATGATTATGTTGGACATATTATTAGTATGTTTTTTTTGGTTGTAATTTAATTTTGTAATTCTGTAATTATAACATTTTTCACTAAATTAAAGCTATTCCAATGGGATTATTACAGCCACCATTTTATGAAGATGATCGTCCATTGTAAGTTTGTTTGTTTGTTAATAAAGTGTTTTAAAAATCAAAAATTCTCTTTGCCAAAAAATCCAGTTATCTAAATTATGCATCATTAGGATCATTTTTTGGTCATGAAATGGGTCATTCAGTAACACCACGTTATAGTGAATTTGATCAATTATTACCACCATGGAATATGAATATATTAAAAGATTATCTATTTAAAGCACAATGTTTTGTATCACAATATACAAGCTATTATGATAAAGAAGCTGATTTACATGTAATTAATCAATTCAATTCAATTACTTTGAACAAATATTTTGTTAATTTTTCTCCTTTTAAAAAATTAGCTTGATGGCACGCGTACATTTGAAGAAGATATGAGTGATTTAGCTGGTATACAGGCTGCTTATTATGCATATCAAGAAGCAGCTAAACGTTTAACAACAATGACCAATAATAATCATCAACAAACATCAAATGTAACCAATGGTCAATTACAACAACAACAACAATCGATACATATGCAACGAATTCAAGAATTACCCGAATTTTCTATTGATATGTTATTTTTTATATCATTTGCACAGGTAATATTATTATTATTATGTTTTTATTCATCTATTTAATTCATTCAATCAATCAATTCAATTTCAATTTTTCAGAAATGGTGTCGTTTTAGTACACATGTACAAACACGTATGCGTATTTCGAAATCGGTTCATTCACCGGGAAAATATCGTGTAAATGGTGCATTAAGTAATTTAGATTCATTTGCAAAAGCATTTAATTGTCCAATTGGTTCGGCTATGAATCCGGCAAAACGTTGTGAAAGTTGGTAAACAAACAAAACAATGGAATTTGCATCAAAACTGTCAACTTTCTTTTCTCTTTTTACCTAATTTATTTTTCATTATTTTTTTTGATTAATAAAAAATATTTTTTAAAAAAATTTCATGTTTTTTTGAATCGTTCGATAAAAGATGGCGCAAGTAATAGTCCAAGTTTTTTGATTTGCTATATAAAATCCTATATTAATCATTTCGGGAACAAACAAAAAAGTTCCCGAAAAAAAAAGAAAAACGGAACGGTTATTCCATATCAACTGAGTCGGTGTTGTTGTTGTTGTTAAAGTCTTTGAACTTTTGAGCGTTTTTTTTTCTTTTTGTTTTGGATTGTTTTGATTTGATTTTGAAACCAAATCGCTGTTGAAACCAATTGAAAAAATGTCTTCAAATAATTCAACCCGAACGATAATGATTGATCGTTATCATCATCAAGGGAATAATCCTCACCATCAACAACGTGGACATTATCGTCGTAATCATTGTGGCCAAAATCGTCATCATCATCATAATAGATCATTTGATGATGAAACAAATGTTTCAACTATTCAACAACAACGACATTGTATTCGTCAACATCGAAGTCATCATCATCACAATCATAATCATCATCATCATCATTGTCATCATTGTCCACCATTATTGGATGATGATTTTACATTCATATCATTATTTGTAAAATATTCATTATTTTTTTTCAATCTTTTGTTTTGGTTAATCGGTACAACATTAATATCATTAGGTGTTTGGTCATTTTTAGAAGAATATAATCAATATAATTTATTTAAATTGAATAATATTTTTGATTTTTTCCTTCATATATCGGTTGCATTGATATTATCCGGTACGATTATATTTTCAATGAGTTTAATGGGTTGTTTAGGTGCATTACGTGAAAATCTTTGCCTTATTAAATTGGTAAGTTTTTTTTTTGATTTGAAATTTTGAATTTTCATTGATTGATTTGATTGATTTTCTTTCCTTTTCCCAGTATTCATTAATGTTATTAATATTGTTTGTCGGTGAAATAATAATATCAAGTTTAGCATTTATATTTCCACAAAATGTATTGAATTTTTTAAAAAATCATCTATCGAAAGATATGATTACAAAATATCGTGAAGATACTAATTTACAAAATCTTATTGATATTATACAATTACAATTTAAATGTTGTGGCATTTCGGATTATGGTTATAAAGATTGGTCAATGAATATTTATTTTAATTGTACATATTTTAATCCTAGTTCGGAACGTTGTGCTGTACCATATTCTTGTTGTCGTAATTTAAAGGTAATAAAAATATTTTTCAAGAAGAAAATTTTTACTTTAATTTCTTTTTGTTTTTGTAATTTTTCAGACAGAAATCGATACAATGTGCGGTTATAATATGCAAAATTTAAGCTCCGTAATCGAAATCAATAAATATGTTTATACACGTGGCTGTGTTGAAGCAATTAGTGAATTAGTTGATCATAATATGAATTTAGTTGCAATTATTTGTCTTGGTTCTGCATTAGCACAGGTATATTCATTCATTTTTAATTAATAATATTTTTCTTACAAAATTAATAATTTTTGCTTTTTCTTCAAGTTATTTGCAATGTTTTTAGCACGATCATTGCAAGGACAGATTTTTGCACAACGTGCACGTTGGATGTAAATCATTAAAACAAACAAAACGAAACATTGTTGGCCAATTTCTTTATGTTATCCATTTAGTAGAATCTTTTTTGAATCTGAATAAAAAAAATGACAATTTTCAAAAAAAAATTAACCCTTTTCATTCTACTAATTTCATATCAAAAAATTATCAAATTTGGATTTTTTCAATCACTAACTTTCTATACGACAAACTTTGATCAATCAATCAGAAAAAAAATACCCTCATTTAAACAAAACAAAATTATCGATTCATTCATTCATTTCTACCAAAAACGAATTCGTTTTTGTTTATTTAAAGTGAATTGATTGATTGATTGATTGATTGAAAACAAACAAACAAAAATTTCGAGAAAATTCCAGATTCAAAGATTTTTTCTATCATCATTCAATCAATTACCAAACAAAATTTCAATGTTAAAAATTTAAATTTTCAAATTTTTTCCTCAAAAAAATTTTTTTTTTCATCATCATCATTTTGAAGGACAGATCCTAAATGAATGTAAAATCCTCGTCATCATCAGTTTTTTGATTGATTGATTGATCGATCGATCGATCGATCGATCAACTAATTGATTGATTGATTAATCAATTAGGGAAACAAAAAATGATTCATAAATTTTAAACTTTTTTTCAAAAAAAAAAAAAATCATCCTTATTGAAATTATTCATCGATTCATTCATTTTTTCGTTATTTTGTTTGTTTTCTCGCATTTTTCTTCGTTATCAAATTTGTACATTTTTGATTTCTGATTTCATTCATTCAATTATAATCGTAAAAGAGTAATATGAAGCAAAAAAAAACTAACACTAACACACACTGAAACGACAATGAAATTTAATACTTTTGGTTAGAATATCATCAAATAATGATTTTTTTTGGTTTTGGTTTGGGCAATAAAATATATATCATGATCAAATTTTCATTTTGTTTTTTCAATTTGATTTTTTAGTTCGTTCGTTTGAAATACTAATAATCATTTTATTCATCTTTAATGATGTTATTTTTTTTTCATTTCATTTCATTTGGGAGTTCATTTTCAAATTGATGTTTATCCACACACACACACAATATACACAGTTAATAATAATAATGATATCGATGGTATCGATGGTATTAAATGATAATTGCGAAAAAAAAGGTTATCAATTTTTTTTCATTTCATTTTTTCTCTTCATTATCAACACGTTCATTATACATGTTGGTTTTTTTTTCTTTTCTCTAACTTTTGAATTTTTAAGTACATAATTGATCCGGAAATTGGAAAGAAATTTTCTTTTTTTTTCTTAAATTCTCAATTTTTTTTTTGTTTGGAAGGGAGGAGGGGGTTAAAATATTTAGGATTTATTTTCATGAAGATCATCATTGCCATCAACATCATCCATAAATATGGAGAGAGAGATTTTCATTTTTCTATTTTTTCATTATCACTAGGCACTAAATCAAAATCAAAATCAGAAAAAAGAAAGTTTATTTTCACATTTGCTCCCCAAAAATGGAAGCCATTAACGAATCGAAAATGATATAATTATAGAGGAGGCACGAGGCTATTTCATTCGTTTGTTTGTTTATATGAATGGCATTGAAAAAAGAAATGAAGAAAACATCAGTACAGTTTTTCCATTGAATTTATAAAAAAATGTTGTGGATCAAGTTGAAAAACAAAATCTTTTTCTTGGTCATAAGATTTGAATGGTGAAAGGGTTAAAAAAAAGGAAGAGCTAGGATGCAAAAAGATTGAAACAACATCGACATTAGAAAATTTTAAATCAAAAAAAAATGGCGGCAAATATTTTATCTTGAATTTCTCTACTTTCCAAAATAAGAAAATTTTGTTTGTTTGAAATTTGAAACTTGCTGCTAACTTGTCGTCTATGTCATCGTTGTTGTTGTTGTTGTTGTTGTTGCATTAAATCATTAATCAATAATCAATAATGGTCCATGTGTGTATTCATCATCGATCAATCGATCGATTGATTGATTGATCGATTTAAGCTCTATAATAATAATAATACTCGTGAATTTGAATGAAAAAAAATCAATGAAATTCAAAAACAAAAAAAACTGGTAAACTTTCGATGATGCACTCATCATCATCATCATCATTATCAATTCAAATCAAATACAAGAGATATGAGTGAGTGAAAAACTTTTCGTTTTTTTTTGGTTCGTCAAAGAAAAAAAAATCAACAAATTTTCGGTTAAAACTGGTTCGATTCGGTTTTTTTTGTTGGTTTGTTTCAAATCACATTTTAATTTGTCATTTTTTTTTCTTGTTTCGTTTTTTTTAATTTGAAAATTTTTTTGATGATTATTATTATGAAAATCACAAGACAAAAACGTACTAAATATACACATAAATGGCGCCTAATTAGTTTTGACTTTTTGATTCCTTATTATTTAGATCAATCAATCAATCAATCGATCGATGAATCGATCAATCAAATTAATTTAATTTTTCTTTGAATTTCAATTTCTCTTGCTTTAAAAATGGCATCAACCCATCAGATTTTTCAAGAAAATCTTTTACTCTTTTTTTTCAACACTCGATTCACATTGCGGGTTGTACAAAGTTCAAAATCTTTTTTTTTTTTTTTTTTTGGTTTTCTTTTTTTTTCAATGTTTGGCTGGTTTTTTTTTTTTTTTTTTTAATTTTTTCGGCAANAAAATTTTAAATCAAAAAAAAAAAAAAATGGCGGCAAATATTTTATCTTGAATTTCTCTACTTTCCAAAATAAGAAAATTTTGTTTGTTTGAAATTTGAAACTTGCAGCTAACTTGTAACGTCGATGTCATCGTTGTTGTTGTTGCATTAAATCATTAATCGATAATCAATAATGGTCCATGTGTGTATTCATCATCGATCAATCGATCGATCAATTGATTGATTGATTGATCGATTTAAGCTCTATAATAATAATAATAATACTCGTGAATTTGAATGAAAAACAAAAAATCAATGAAATTCAGAAACAAACAAAAATTGGTAAACTTTCGATGATGCACTCATCATCATCATCATTATCAATTCAAATCAAATCAAATACAAGAGATATGAAAAACTTTTTGGTTCGTCAAAGAAAAGAAAATCAACAAATTTTCGGTTAAAACTGGTTCGATTCGGTTTGTTTGTTTCAAATCACATTTTAATTTGTCATTTTTGTTTCGTTTTTTTAATTTGAAAATTTTTGATGATTATTATGAAAATCACAAGACAAAAAACGTACTAAATATACACATAAATGGTGTCTAATTAGTTTTGATTTTTTGATTCCTTATTATTCAGATCAATCAATCAATCGATCGATCGATCGATCAATCAATCAAATTAATTTAATGTTTCTTCGAATTTTAATCGATTGAAATGATGTTCTCTCTAATGGCATCAACCCATCAGATTTTTCAAGAAAATCTATTACTCTTTTTTTTAACACTCGATTCACATTGCGGGTTGTACAAAGTTCAAATTTTTTTTTGTTTTCATCTTTATTCAATGATTGGTTGGTTTGATTTGATTTGTATTGAATTTATTCGGTCAATTGTCGATCTATATATTCAATTGCTTTACAAAGAAAAAGAAACAAAAAACAAAAATTTTTTTTATTATAAACCATAAGATGTTTTGATGGTGATAGTTAGGCAATGTTTATGTCTCTCTCGCTTTCTTGCAGATAGGATTGTCTATTTGTTGACGGATGGGACGTCCTTTTGTTTTGATTATATATTTTTGATTTTTTGTATTTTTTTTTGTTAAACACTCTCTATAAAGATAATTTGGTCATGATGATCGATGATTGATGTACAAAGTTCAAATTTTTGGTTTGGTTTGTTTTTGGTCGATTTTTTGGTTCTCTGGTTTCTTCTTGTTAATGATTGAATGATTGATTGATGTCTGTCCATTTGTTTAGATTTGATGATGATTGAATTGAGGAAACAGAAAAAAGACAATATTAACTGGCTTAACACTTAATTAATCAATCAATCAACCGCCCACACATCATTAAAACAGAGAAAAAAATCATTGATTATAATATAGTAACCCAGAAAAATTGAAATTTAAAATACAAGGAATAGTACAAACAAACAAATAAATAGAGAAGAAGAAAAAAAAGGTTAATGTTCAGGACAATGTAATGCTGAACTACTGATCTAGTGTTAAACAAAATCATTCGATTTTGTCAAAATTTTGTTTACTTTTTTTTTGTTCCTATTGATTAATTGATTGATTGATTGATCGATCGATTTTTGATTTGTTTCATTCTCCCCCCATCCATCAATCAATTCATTAAGTAACAAAACAAAAAAAAGTTTCATCGATGATCAAATCAATTTGAAAAATGATCCGATTAATCGATTAATCGATTTTTAAAAAAAATAACAAAATTGCTGATGAAATATCATTACAGTGTTTACATCATAGGGGTTTCACACTAGCAGCAATGTGAATGAAATATTTCAAATGCAATATTTCA